CTGTTTCAAGTATCTCTCTTGTAAACAACATATTGTTGGATTCTGGTTTCTAATTCATTCTGCTATCCACTTCTGTTTTATGGGTGAATTCATTCCATTCACAGGTATGATTACATCCCATTTATTGTTTGTCCTCTCTCTCTTTTTACCCTGTTCCTCCTCAAGTCCGTTTTGCTTCTGACCACTGCCTCCCTTAATCTACCCTCTCTTTTACCACTCCTCCCCCTTCCTCTTAACCCCTGCCCCACTGGGTTAAGATAGATATACCAAACTGAGTTTGGATGGGTAGTCTTCTCTCTGAACCAGTTCTGATAAGACTGAGGTTCAAGTGTTGTGAGCCACCCCCAACCCCCACCAATTTCCCTCTCTGCTGTAAAAGCTTTCCCTTGCATGCCACTTTTATTGTGAGATAATTTTCCCCCTTCTAGCTGTCCCTTCCCCCTTATCCTGGTTCATCCCTCTTTCTCACCCCTTCGTTCCCCCCTCCCCCCAGATCATTACAACACAATCAGCTCACACTTGTGCCCTCATTCTATATAAACTCCTTCTAGCTGCCCTAATAATAACTTTTTTAGGGTTACAACCTGTGTAGGAATATAAATAGTTTAACCTTATCGAGTCCTTTATGATTTTCATATTTGCCTTTTTATGCTTCTCTTGAGTCATGTGTTTGAAAGTCAAGTTTTCTATTCAGCTCTGGTCTTCTCATTAGGAATGCTTGAAAGTCTTCTACTTCATTAAATATCCATTTCTTTCCTCTGAAAACTTACACTCAGTTTTGCTGGGTGGCTTGTTCTTGGTTGTCATTCGAGCTCCTCTGTCTTCCAAAATATCATATTCCAAGCTCTCCACTCCTGTAACTTGGAAGCTGCCAAACCTTGTATGATCCTTACTGTAGCTCTACAATATCTGAACTGTTTCTTTCTGGCTGCTTATTAAATTTCCCTTTGCTCTGGGAGCTCAGGAATTTGACTATTCCTGGGAGTTTTCATTTTGGGATCTCTTTCAGGAGGTGATTGGTAGATTCTTTTGATTTCCTATTTTACCTTCTGGTTCTAAGATATCAGGGCAGTTTTCCTTGATAACTTCTTGAAATATGATGTCTAGGCTCTTTTTTTGATCATGACTTTCAGGTAGTCCAATGATTCTTAAATTATCCCTGTTTGGTCTATTTTCCAGGTCATTTGTTTTTCCAATAAGACAGTTCACATTTTCTTCTATTTTCTCATACTTCTGACTTTGTTTTATTTTTTCTTAGTATTTCATGGAGTTATTAGTTTCCACTTACCCAATTCTAATTTTTAAGGATTATTTTCTTCAGTGAGCTTTTGTACCTCCATTTCCATTTGGCCAGGTCTGCTTTTTAAGGAGTTCTTTTCTTCAGTGAATTTTTGTGCCTCTTTTACCATTTGGCCTATTCTGTTTTTTAAGGTGGTATTTTCTTTAGTACTTTTTTTTGTGCCTTTTACCAAATTGTTGACTCTTTTTTCATTATTTTCTTGTATTACTCTAATTTCTTTTCCCAATTTTTTCTCTATTTCCTCTTATTAGATTTTTAAAATCCTTTTTGAGCTCTTCTAGGAATTTTTTTTGGGAAGGGGGGGCTGAAACCAATTCACATTTTCCTTTGATGCTTTAGATATAACTGCTTTTGACTTTCTCATCTTATGAGTTTTTTTTTTAAAGCCAATATTTTATTTCATTTTTGCTCTCGAGGAGCTCACACTTTTTTTTTCATTTTTAAAAATTTTCTTTCTTTTTTTAATTTAGTATTCTATTTTTCCTCAGTTAAATGTAAAAACAATTTTTAACATTTGTTTTTAAAACTCTGAGTTCCAAATTCTCTCCCTTCCTCCCTTTTCCACCCTCCATCATTGAGAAGGCAAGAAATCTGATATAGGTTATACATGTGTAGTCTTGCAAAACATATCCATAATAGTCATGTTGTAAAAGAAAACAGACAAAAAAATGAGTTTGTGTTTTGACCTTCCCTGTCACCGTGGTAACTTTCTATGGTCGTGTTCTTTTTGTTGTTTTCTCATTTTTCCAGCCTATTTCTTGACTTTGAATTTTATGTTAAAGTTGGGCTCTGCTCACCTTGGGGGAGGAAGGGAGGTACTGTTCCAAGCGTCAGGCTTTTTCCTGCTGCTGTTTTCAGTTAGTTCTGGGGAGTCTGCAAATTTTCAGTGCTTCCAAGGAGGTGTGATCTAGGGAGAGGTGTGGGCTACTGCTCTTATGGTCTGTGCTCTGGCCTTTAGCCAGGAAGCGCCCCAGCTTCTCTTAAGCTGCAAGTGCTGGTGCACCTCTGCCATGGACCTGAGACCCGGAACTGGGTATGGACGATAGAGTTGCCAAATAGTATGTGGTCCTGCATCCAGTGTCAGTTCAGGGTACCCTGTAATCTCTTTCTGGACATCTTTCCAGCTGTCTAATCATCCCCTTACCATCTCTGGGTGGTAGACTCCCAAAGCTGATGCTGTGACAGCCCACCACCTCCAAGGCCCAATGCTGGTACTGCCACTGTGTGTGCTCCTGGTTGTCCCCCACCCAGTGTCACAGACCTCTCCTGCAGACTGCTGGAGACATGTCTCATCCTGCCCTTTTCTTGGTTCTTCTGCTCCAGAATTTGATTTGAGGAGTTATTATAAAGTTGGAGGGGAATATTGAGAGTCTGGCTGGATTGCGGCCTCTACTCTACCATCTTGTCTCTGCCCTTTCTTCTAAATGCCTTCTAACAACTTATATACTCCCCCAAAGAGAGGAAAATGAACTGAAATTCCTAGGATTCTGACCAATCATCTGTCTAGATGGCCTCCTGCTTGGCAGAAAAACAAGACACTTTAAGCTTGTGAGGATTAGCTTTCAGCTTTAGGAAACAGATTATGAGTAACTCTCTCACTGTGGTACCTACCAGTTTCTTAGTTAATGCTCATCACAACCTGGCAGGCCCTGGAGGTGAACTGAGTTTTCAGGCCTGAAGACAAGTGTCCCAGGTAACAAACTAACGGTGACAGAAGTGGGATTGACGTCAGTCCTCACCTTGCTGGCATCTCGTTGGAGCAGTGCCTTCACCAGCTGCCTCGCATCCAAGGACACATTCTCTGGCAGTGCAGGAAGCTGAGACTCATGGTAACTGCGGCTTTCCAGCTGGGTCCTGCCATGTCCATAGAAGGGATTGGGGAGTCCAAAGATCTCATAGGCAATTGCTCCCACTGCCCAGGCATCAGCTTTGCTGTAGTCAATCACTACCCCAGGACCAGGACAGGCTGTTGACACCTGCATGGGAACCAAGAAAAAGGTGGAACACCTACCATCTTTGTGTTACTGGTGTTTCAATAAAGACTGTAGGTCATGTGGTCCATTTACATAAATCAAAATCACACTGAATGGGCATCTGCTGGCCCTGCTCCTTACTTAGAGAACCCTGTATGTCCTTTTTAAGCTCAGACAGAACTTACAAAAGGTCAAATGTCCTCATAATAAGGGTCAGAAAAGGTCTTTGTTGGGTGTTATGGGCCAGAAAACATGATCCACACTCATGCAGCACTTAAGGTTCACAAAGCATTTTCCTCACAAGTATTATCTCCATTTTAAAGAGGAAACTGAGACTCAGAGGTAATGTGATTTGTCTCCAGTCTCACCACTTGTGTCTGAGCCTGGATTGGAACCCAGCTCCCTCTCCAGATGCAGTGCTCTTTATGCCCACCACACACATGCAAAGATCAAGGGGTCCTCCAGGGTGATGGAGTGTCAGGTCCTGGATTCATGGTGTAATGGGGGAAGAAATCCAACCAGCAGATCCAGGGACGGGTTCTTGCCTAACGACAAACACACAGCGAGAGTTACCTCAGGAGCCATCAAGCAGCTATTTCCTCCCCGGTCCACGTACCAGCTGGTGAAAGGCAATTGCAGGCCGATGCTCTCATCAGCCAGACAGCAACCGAAATCTGTTATTACCAGCCAGGGGCAGCCAGCTGGTAAGGCAACAGGTAGGGGCCAATGAACAGTCAGTGGAGAGGAACCCCCCCCTCCCTTTTCTGATCCCCACTGACTTCAGGACTAAAGCCACAGGTCCCTGACTGGCTGAGGGGACCTAGTCCAACCCCACTCATTTTACAGATGAGAACGCTGAGGCCCAGCGAGGGGAAGAGGCTCCTTCCATGTCACAGTGCAAGTTAGGACCAGACCAGAACTCACGTTGCCAACTTCCAGTCCAGGGCACTTCCCAAAACCTGCTGCTGCCTCTCACTCTTTCCGTAGCAGCAGAAGACAGGTGAAAGGAGCTAAGAATCTGGGCAGTGAGGACAGGGTCTGTTTGGGAAAATGGCTGGTGTGGTGCTTAAAAAGTTTGAGAGATGTAATTTCAGGATAATTAAATCATTCTATTAATAATGCCAGCATTTTAATAAAAGGATGGTCATTTGGCCATCTCTCTCTTAGACCAAAGACTATCACGACAGTGAGCTTATATGTCCATTGGAAAATGAGTATTCTGAGGGTAACAATCAACTCTGATTGGTTAACAATTAATGAAAGGATGATATTACAATGAGGGGCTGAAAGTGACATCATGTCAAAGAGAGACTACCCCCAGCCTTGGGCAATCTAGTTAAAGAATTTATCCCCACCCAAACCTGAGTGGAGCACAATGCCTTCCCCACCTGGGCAGGGTCTGATCAAAATTGTTAAGAAAGTTAGTCCAAATTCATTGTCAGTAATGTCCTTCAAGAAACTGAGCTTTTGAAATCAGGACTTTATAAAAAGGGGGGACATCTGGATCTCTCCAAATCACTGGTTATTAATAATCATTTCTCTTATTGGCATACCAGAAGACTGGAGGACCAAGTGTGGTAAAGGATGTCCATTGATTTTTAAGAAAACCCAATCTGCAAACATTCAAAATTAAGGGACAGACAAAAACAGTGGCCATTTACTATTTATCAACTGCATTAAAAAAAAAAAAGGCCATAGAAGTATTTATGGATTTGGAGTTGTAAGGCTCCAAAAGGCCATCTTACTACCTTTGAGATCTTGGACTTGTAGATAGAAGCAAAGTGATAGGCAGAGCGCTACACTGGAAATAAGGAAGACCTGGGTTCAGATCCCACTTCTAACTAAGACTAGCTGTATGGCCCCAGGCAAGTCACCCAGCCTCTCTGTACCTCAGTTTCCTCATCTGTAAAATGAGATAGTTAGACTAGGTGGTTTCTAAGATCCCTTCCAGCTCTGAATCCTGTGACTCTCTGACCTTGATTTATGCAGCTGACACATTTCCTCATTATAAAGATGAGGAGACTGAGGCTCAGAGAGAACTGACTTCTCCAAGGCCTCACAGGGGATTTAGACACAAATGGTTTGGTCCTCTGACTTGCAAATCCAGGGCTCTAACTCAACTGCAAAGCTGCCCACGTTCCAGACCTAAAATGGGCCCAGTCCAGGGCAACAGGAAGGAAGCTGGAGATCCACAAGTCTTCTGGGGGTTCCATCCACCCTCCCCCAGTAAGAGGTGACACATTCCGCAGAAGGAGGTGGATCTCACCTCTGCATCACACCTTGGAAGGGACCGTGAGCAAAGGGCAAAGGCAGGACAGGCAGTAGAGCCTGTGCTGACTGCTCTGGGAGAGGCTCTTCTCAGCGAATACAATCGCCGGCCACCTACCTGAGTCAAACCCCACCAGGATGTTGTCCGACTTTAAGTCCCTGTGTGCGATGCCCTGCTGAACCAGGTGATCCACCCCTTCCAACAGCTGCAGGGTCATCATGGTGGCAAGGCGGGGGCCTGGAGGGCGCAGCTGCAGGTACTGGCGCAGGGTCCAGGGGTAGCTGGGCAGAGAGGGAGACAGGCTCACTTGAGCGGCTGATCTCCCATCTCTGGTACCTTCCCTTTGTCTCTCTCTGGGACCTGCCTGTCTTCTCATTTCCACTCTGCATTCTACACTCTCCCCCACTTGTCCTGAAACCCAAAGGATGGCACATTGTGGCACCAGCCCAATCCCCACCTCAGCAGGACAGCCAGCAGGGCTTGTGGAGCCCAGGGGAGGGAGTAACACACACGTCTTAACTAGGGAGCATTTGAATCCAGCATCTCAGAATCTCGAGGTCTGAAAAAGGGCTCAGCAGCTGTCTCACCCAACCAAACCCTCTTGGAATGACTTTGTTTTTCTCCATGTGGACTCTGCATTTAGTTAGCAGAGCACACAGCGTATTCCCCCAATTCCCCCAGTGGAATGTACGCTTGCTGAGGGCAAGGACTACTTTTTGTTTTCCAAGTACTCAGCACAGTGTCCTGCACATTGTAGGTGCCTAATGTTTGTTGAATTAGGTTGACTTAAATGACATAACTCTCACTTTTATAACACTTAAAGGTTTACAAAATGCTCTCGTGAGAACACCTCATGGGGCTGCTGGTGCATTGACTACTGTCCCCACTTTACAAATGTGTTAGTAATTCTTCTCTATGCACCAGAGAGGAGATGCAAGGCCCGGTTTCCTGTCTCCAAGTCAGTATTCTTTATACTACACCCTACTCCCAAAGTGAGGCTCTTCTTAGTTAAGCTTTGACAAATGCCACTTGGAGGCTCTTTCTCCCAGACAACCCCCAAAATCTCCCACTGCGCAGTAACCATGCAGGTGTACATGGCCAGCTCTCACACTCCAAAACGGAGGCAGCTGCCTAGGCAAGGCCCAGGCTCCCACCGATCTCACTGGCACTTACTTCTTCATAACAAGGAACAGCGTTCGTCCGTGCCCCAGGCCTGAGGGGCAGAGCTTTGGAGGCAGGACATCAGGGTAATCCACCAGGGCCCCAGGCAGGAGGGGCACAGATGAGGTGAAGGCCCGGAGCACCCGGATAATGTTGGGATGTGGGGCCAGCTGCTTGGAACCTCTCTCGTGTTTTCTGTTTTAGTCAAAGTGAGAGCACACATCAGGCCAGGCCTTGAACACGCAAAGTAGAATTCTATTGCTCCAACTTCATAAGAAATGCTAATATGGCAGAGACCAGGTATTTACATAAGACCCTTCTTCCAAAGCATGGGGCCAGGTCTAAGATCACACGTACTGGGTTGGAAGACCATTTACTTCTTCCTTACAAGCAGCTTATATTAAAGTCTTTGAGAAAATGCTGACTACTTATTCATTCGTCTGATCAACATTGATTAAGTTTCTATGACACATAGGGGCCAGACAGACCTAATCTTAAGTCTATTAGGAGCCTCAGTTCATATTCTATTATTATTCATATCTTAGCCTTCTGGCACTACTTACATGACTTACCTGCTCAAAATTCTTCAGTGGTTCCCCACTGCCTACAGAATAAAGGCCAAACTTCTTGGCAGAGCCCCCAAGCTCATTTACACCTTAAGAGGATGGGGGATTCAGAGCTGGAAGGGACCTTGGTGACCATCTGGTCCACTTCTCTCATTTACAGATCAGGAAACTAAGGGCCAAAGATATTAGTGACTTGCTTGGTACAACAGAAAGAACACTCTCTTTGGAGTGAAAGGAGGTAAGTTTGAACCCTGCTGACTCTGACACTGAGAGACTCCAACTTTACCCTCTCCGGGCCTTGGTCTCCTCATTTGATAAATGAGGAGGTTGAACTAGAGGCCCCACGAGGTCTTTTCCGGCTCCACATTTGATCCTATGTCACACACACCTGGATTCAAACCCAGGGAATGTAAGCTCCTTAAAGGCAGGGACTGTTTTGTGTTATTGACTTTGTATTCTCAGAGCCTAGCCCAGAGCATACACTTAATCAGTGTCTGTGGGACTGGCCTGGCTGGGCCTCCAGGCCTGGACTCTGCCACATCCTCTTGTTGCCTCCCTTTGTGTCCCACTACTCCTTTTCCACATGCGACATCCCAGTCAACATATCAATATGTGAACGTTCTGGCCTCTGTATTTGCTGACGCCACCTCCTTGCTGATGCCCCTGCCGAGACCCCAGCTTGCAACAATGCCTGCCGCACTCCGTTGCTCTTAAGACCTGTAGCTATCACACACCTGTGCACACCTCATTCCCCTACTACCCCAGGGGAGTCTCACTGTATTTACCATAGCATCTCCTCCTGTACCAATCCCAGGCCTCCCTCACGGAAGGGAGATCAGCGCTGACCAGCTCTAGCTATATGGGCACCATGCTTGTGGATGCCACTAGAGGGCACTCTCCACTTGCATTTTGTCAGCAGCTGCCAACCTTCCAGAGAGGAATCCTGGGGTGGGCTTCAGCAATTGAAAAACTGGGAGTACTGGAATGGCTTGACCCTCAGTCTCTTGCCTCTTTACCAAGCAAAGTTAGCCCACTAATTTGAACAGAAGAGCACTGAAAAGCTGGAAGGGACCTTAGGACACAGAACCTTTGGCCTTAGGGATCTTCAGGCCAGTGTGAGGCTGGGGGCTGCTGATAAGCTCAGCACTGGCGGGATCTCAGCAGCTATCTAGGTCAGCATGCTTTCAAGAGTCCCCTCTCCTCCATGGCCATCGCCTGCCTTGGTTCAAGAGCCCGGGGTGAGGCGGGTGGGAGAGAAGGGCAGGCTACTACCTCTTGAGGCAGCCTTTTCCACCCTGGACAGCTCTCTTCAACACTAGGCCCAAAGTGATTTCTTGCCAACTTCTATTCACAGCCCCTGGGCATAAGTCTGTTGCCTCTGCCAAGTCTGTCCTCTGCTGCCTTCCACTATGACCCACTGTTCCCTCATCCTCCACCCTTCCCCCAATCTCTGCCAAGGGTTACTGACTCATACCTGGAAATGGTGGCCCCGTACTCCCCAGACAGGGCCATGCGGCTGGCTGGAACCAGTTCCTGGCTCATGGTGCTGAGGATGGCTTCACTGGAGGAACCTGCCTATGACAAATCCCCAACAAGCAGAGCATTATCCAAACACAAGAGGCATCAGACACAGCAGAGGGGACTGTCATGGCAAGCATTCCCAATGGCCTAAGCTGAGACCAGCCCCCATCTCCTATTTCAAAATAAGACACAGAGTCTCCTTAGCACTAAGCACCTTTCAGTGACAGGCCAAACCAAGTCTTCACTCCCTCTCGTGGGAGCAGGGGGTAGGGTATGGGATAAGGGATGCCTAGAGAGTGAGGGATGAAGGGCAGGACCCACACTGCTGGAGCTACCCCAAGCCTCAGCCTCCTAACAATCCAAGCACCTGCAACACAGGGGAATAAGCAAAGGTGATAGGGCAAACAAACTCCCCTCACTTGGCTCTGGTAGCTGGGCTTGAATCAGCCTGCTTGGTGGGACATGCACATGTCACCTACTGTTGAGCCCTGATTGGCTGGCATGAGGAAACTCATGTTCTCCTCAGAGTATCACATTAACCACAAGACTCATGGAAAGAGCCCGTGTCCCATCCAGATCAATTTCTCTGGTTTTTCTAAGTGAAATAGCTGTCACTCACAAGTTATTTCCCATTCCTGACTCCAAACCTAATCAACAGAAGTGCTCAGGCTGGCCATTTCTCTAACAAAAGTCAGAGTACTTGACTTTTTCTGAGATGGCATATCTTGCCCCTGAAATGCTTGCAGACCATAGGGAAGGAAGGCAGCCTGACAAAGGGCTGGGTACTCCAGATTATATACTCTGAGGGTTTGAAGCCCCCAAATCAACTAGCCAACGCTCTGACATCAACTTGTTTACTACGACTGACTGGTTAGAGACTCCTGACCTAGCATTGCTCACAAGGGTGGGTGAGGAGGACTGGTCATTGCAAACATCCTTTCTGATGTCTGTTTATCGACTGAAGAAGTTTGTTTTGTCCTTCAGGACTGGTCCTCTCACAGGAGAGCTGCTTCCTCCAAAGGAGCCGGGGTGAGGGGGTGATGCACTTACCGAGATGTTCCACATCATCTTGATGGCCAGGGGAAAGGCTGTGGCCATGTGCTGAGCACTCTGCTTGCTTTCTGCCTGAGGGGCAATTGCTGGATCCTGTCCTAGTAGAAGCCCATCCCTGGGGCCTTCTGGCTTCTGGGGCCAGGTGGGCATGGTGGCTTCATATACTGCAGCACTGCACCCCTTGCCAATGGACTGTCCAATGAGGTATTCTTCCAGCCGGAAGCCCTGCCAACGCCTACTTGCCAGAGGGTCAGGAAGAAGTTTACTTTTCTGGGTAAAAATTTCCTGTGAGGGAAGAAAAAACGCCCTGGTGAAGCAAGGGGCTAGCAGAGGCCTATGTGTCCACAGACATGTGGACAGAGCAGTGCTGAGGTAGAGGTCACTCAAGCAAGGTCAGATTAGGAGCCAGCAGAAACAGAAACAACTGTCCTTTGTTGCTAGGCCTGAGCTTAGGCCATAAGCTGTTCAGCCTCTTTCTTTTGTTGTTCAAAGCAACTTTACTACAAACACTCATTTTTTTCCCTGCACAGCAGAAAGAATAATTGATTAGGTGTCAGAATTTCTGGACTCTGCAGCTGGCACAATTACTGATGTGCTGCCCATCTGTCTCTTGGCACCAACTCTGAGCTCTCTGTACTACAGAGATATCTCTTTTTACAAAGGCCTTAGATGACAAGTATTAGACAGGTACAGCGCACGGCAGTGAGGATGATGGGCAGTGTGCCACAACTGGCAGTCAGGCTAATGATGTGTTAATGCCGTGAGGTCACTACTGCACATAACCAAGGCCTTCTGAAATCTGAAGACAGAGCAAAGTCCCTAATGAGGCTGATTCTCCCTCTCGGTTTGGAACAGAAGGTCTTAATAAGGAGTGAAATCTGCGGTGTTGTTGGAAAAAGGAAAAGTCTGATGATGGGTCGACCACCCTAAAGCTGCCTTTCCTCTCTTCGCTAATGGAATCCTCCCAATCCGACCGGCCCCAATAGCTGGTCCTCCCTTCTCTCCCTTCTCCCCCACATTCAGATGATCCCTAAGTCCTAGGGACCTAAGATTTTTGTATTTCTTCAGTCCTTTTCTTTCCATTCCTTCTCCTATGCCCTTGGTCTAAGCCGTTATGACCCTTTATGGGGACAATTGCAGGAGCTCTTAGCTCTTTGGGTGTCATAGCCGCCCTGGCAGTTTGGTGAACCTTTGGGACTCTTCATGTCATGTTCTTTCAGACTCATCATTGAAGGACATGCTAAATCTTGGTTAGAGGTGAGTGCACTGACTTTGAAACTAATTCGAAGAATCAGAAATCTAGACCTGGAAGAGACCTCAGCGGCCCTCCAGTCCAACTCCCTCATTTTACAGATGGGGAAACTAAGGCCCAAGGAAGGTCAGCGTCTTGTCCAAGTTCACTCGAATAAGTATCAGGGGCAGGACTAGAACCTGGGTCCTCTGACTCTTTTGCCTGTACCCTTGTACTGCTTCCCCTCGCCTTCAGTCTCTACCCTTTCCCAATTCATCCTGGAAAGGCTGTCAAATGAATCTTCCAGAAATATGTTGCTTCTCTCCTGAAAAGCCTTCAAAGGTCCTCCGTGACCAGCACAATTAAACAAAAAGCACAGCCTTCAGGGCCCTGCAGAATCTGGCCGCAAGTGAAAGCCGGCAGAGTGGGGAAAACCACTGCCTCCTGAGGTATCTGCGTCACTTCTGGGTAGCTGTTAGGAAGTGCTTCCTCCAAGCCCTTCTCCCCTCCGTGGACACTGGGCTCCAGCCACACCGGTCTACACAGCATCTGTCAAACACCCCCTGCACAATCCCGTCTCCACCTTCTCCTCCTCACATTCACATTGCTTCCTCTCTGGGTGACCTTATCAACTCTCATGGGTTCTGTGACCATTTCTGTGCTGATGATCCCCAGATTGATATATCAGCTAGGTGGCACAGTGGATAGAGCACTGGGCCTGGAGTCAGGAAGACCCGAGTTCAAATTCGGCCTCGGACAACAAGAGTCCCCCTCTCCTGAGCTCCAGTCGCACATACCACAAGCTGCCTATCAGACATTTGAGCTAGTTGTCCTGTAGGCACCACAAATTCAAAATGTCCAAAAGAGAACTCATCATCTCCCCCACCCCCAACACCCCCTCTTTCTAGACAGTGCCATCGAGGGCACCAGCACCCTTCTGGTCACCCAGGTTTGCAGCCTCGGGGTCAGCTGCTGCTCTTTCCTCTTACTCGCCTCCCACTGACGTCAGCTGCCACATCATGTCACTTCACCTCCACGTCTTTCACCACCCTTCCTCCCCCTCACATGGCCATCACCCTGGGACAGGGCTTCTCAAGTGTCTTTGGTAGTCTCCACACTCCAATCTATCCTCCACTGAGCCAAGGAGATTCTCCTAAATCACTGCCTGCTCTTCTGGACTTCATGATCTTTGTAAATTCATCATCCTGCAAGGTGACATCAACTCTGAAATTCTCACCTCCTCAATACCACCTGCCCCCCCCAGCTTTGACTGGAGAGGGAGCTCCTCCCAGATCCTTCTTCACAGTGTTGAGTACATGGTAGACCCTTAATGTTTCTTGACTCTGACACTCCAATTCCTAGATCTGCACACATCTCCCTCTCCTGCCTCCTCTCAATAAACTGCAATGGCTCCCAATTACCTGCAGGATCCTAGATACATATATAAAAGCTCCTTGAGTCTTTTTACACATTACTTTGCTCTATATACTTTGCAACCTGGCCCTGCTGGCCCATCTGCTGTTATGCACTAATAAGCATTCCATTTGCCATCAACACACCTTTGCACTGGCTGTTCCTCATCCCTGGAATGCCCTCCCTCCTCACCTCTTTCTCCCAGAAAACCTGTCTTACTTTCTACACAACACTTTTCCTGCCTCCCCCAGCTGCTAGAGCCTTCTTCCCCCAAACCACCTTCAAACGTCCATCTTGTATATATTTGGTATATCTAACCGGCTAGCCTTCGTTTGAATCCTGCCAGAACGTAAGCTCCTTGAAGGCACGGGCTGCTTCTCTTCTGTCTTTGTATTCCTCACCCTGCCCTCAGTTCCTGACACACAGCAGGAGCTTAATAAATGCTTGCTGACTGGGATGCTCACCTCCCTCCCTACTCTGCTGCACCCACTTCCCGACTTCAGTGCCCCCCTCACTTCTCACTTCCTCCACGGTTTTGTCTACACCGACCGCTCGGTGCTTCCCATTTACTCTGTATCTTCTCAGCAAGGCCCAGTGGCAAGAGCTAGGGATCTGGGTCTGCATCCCAGCTCTGACATTTACCAGCCAGTCACGTAACTGCTCCGAGCTTCAGTTTCCTCATCTATAAAATGTGGATAATCCCAGCATCACCTACGTCACAGGGCTGTCATGAGGAAAGTGCTTCGTAACATTATGGGACTAAATAAAAATAAGAGCTAATTATTATTAATTACTGCTTTAAGGTTTACAAAGCACTTTATAAGATATCTAATTTGGCCCTTACAATAACCTTGTGAGGCAGGCACTATTATTATCCCCCTTTTACATGTGTAGAAAGTAAGGCATAGAAAGCTGAGACTTGTCCAGGGGCTCACAGCCAAATAGCTAAAGGAAAATTTTAACTCAGGTCTTCCAGACTTCAAGTCCACCACTCTTTCCACTGTGCCATTTTTGTCTTATGTGTGATATTTGTTACTTTACATGTGTCTCATTTTGCCAACAAACTGTAATTCTCTAGGTCAGTGGCCGTGATTTTTGGCCCTGAAGTCATAAGAGTTGGGTTGGAGTGGCATCTATTAGCTAAGTGGCCCTGGACAAGTCATTTGACTTCCAGTCCTTGTTTTCCTCATCTGTAAAATGGGGCTATCTGTCAAAAGGCCAATGCTGGGCAAGCACTAAAGCCATAGGTAAATTGGAGATATTATTATGATCTTCGTATTTCTCACAGAATCCAGTAGAGTAACTTGTGCCTAGGAAAGCCCCCCAAAATATGTGCTGACAGGCTCTAGAAATGAACCAAGGAGAAACCACCCTTCTGGTCTCCATCCCTCACCACCATCTTTCCAGTCATGCAGGCTGGCAGCCCCAGCGTCTCCCTCGGCTTCTCACTTACTCTACACAAACAGAGTAACTAAGGACATGTGGGAGAAGGAATGAAGAAGCAGGAGTATGCAGTGGAAAGATCTGGGAGCCGGGAGTGGGTTCGTCTCTTTCACTGACACACACTTGGTGAAGAACCTCCCTCAGCTTCCTGTCCTTGGCCTCTGCTCATCAGAAGGGCAGGAAGGGCCAAAGCATAGACTCTGGGGCCACCAAGGGCTGGCCTGAGCTCAGCTGTGAGGTGGCACTGAGTAGTGGGAGGAACCCTGGGTCAAGAGTCAGAAGACACAAGTTCACGTCCCTGATTGGTCCCTAACATGCTCAGACTTCTCAAACGGGATGTCCAGTAGTCACCTTAAACTCCACATATCCAAAACAGAACTCCTTATTTCTCCCCCCAAACCCCTGCCTCCTTCTACCTTCCCTGTTACTGGAGAGGGCACCACCATCCTTCCAAACTCAATGTCATCCTAGACCCCCCCCAGCCCCCGCCCATAGCCAAGCTGTCCTCATGGCCTGTCGATTTCACCTTTGCAACATCTCTCCAATATGCCCCCTTCTCTCCTCCGACACTGCCTCTAGTCTAGTGCAGACCCTCATCACTTCATGTTGAGGCTGCTGTAGTAGCCTGCTGCGGGGTGGGGAGGTCCTGCCTGTCTCAAGTCTCTTCTCACTCCAATCCATCCTCCACTGACCCACAAAGCAGTTTTCCTAAAGTTCAGGTCTGAATCCATCATACTTCTACTCAATAAACTCCAGTGGCTCCCTACTGCCTCCAGGAACAAATACAAAAGAATTTGGCATTCAATGGCCTTCTCAGTTGTCCCCCCCTCACCTTACCAGTCTTCTCCCACCTTACACCCCAACACATACGCTTTGATCCAGTGACACTGGCCTCCCAGGTGTTCCACAAAGGAGACCCTCTTAGCTCTGGGCATTCTCTCTGGCTATCCCCCATGCCCAGACTGTTCTCCCTCCTCATCTCTGCCTCCTAGCTTCTCTAGCTTCCTTCAAGTCCCAGCTAAAATCTCACCATGTACAGGAAGCCTTTCCAAACCCCTCTTACTTCTGATAGCTTCCTTCTCTTAACTATTTCTTATTTATCCTGTAGATACCTTGCTTGAGGGCAGGGACTGTCTTTTGCCTCTTTTTGTATTCTGAGGGCTTAGCACAGTGCCTGGCAAAAACAGGACCTTAAATGATGACTGATCACTTGATCTTGGACAAACTCATTCCTTTCCTCAGGTCTCAGTTTTCCTACCTGTAAAATAAGAGACTTGGAACTAGAAGTCAGGAGATCTGGGTTCCAGGTCTGGGGCTGCTGAATAACCTGTTTTATGACCCTGGGAAAATCCCTTCAACTTTTTGGGCTTCAGTCTTCTCTGTAAAACAAGGATGTTGGGCCAGATCAGCCATAGGGATGGGCCACGGGGTTAGAAGTTCCTAAGTGTGAGTGTACAACATGAGTTTAATTATAGATTTAATTACATTTGGTGTCAATCACTGTTTCATTTTAAGCTCACTAGCACAACAGTTAGCATCAGTAAATTACATACCAGTAGGGAAAGCCAACCAGTTAGACCCTATTGAGATCTTGTGTGCTAGCTAAATAGCTAAAACAAGTTTTTTTTTGCTTTTAAATCTCAGGCCAGCTGTACCATGAATGCTAAGGGGTTACAGAGCTTCCAAAGCCTCTCCTATCTCTGACATCCTGTGAGTTAAAGTCACAAAAACTAGGATAGAGACCAAAATAAAAAGTCTCAGCCCTCAAGGAATTCTGGGATACTCTGTGTGCCGATGTCACCCCCAGCTCTAACACGACAGGCTTGGAGTTAGAGGGCCTGCTTCAAACCTCTACTCTGCCACCTACTGCTTAAACTGTGCAACTGAGCATGTCATTCATTTGACTTGGCCCTAGCTTCCCCATCTTTTATAAATGAGAGGACTGTACTAGATGACCTATGAGGTCCTTTCTGGCTCTACAGATGGCATCGAGGATCCCTTAAAACCTGGACACCGTCAAGTCAGAAAGTGAGGTAATAACAAGGCTTGATCCAAGTCACCCGAATTCAAATCTAGACCTCTTTGTACCACATCACATTGCTTTAAAGGATTTGGAAATGGAAGACCCTCTCATCCAACTCCCTCCTTTTAAAGATGAGATTGAGAGGAACCAGCATCTATGCTAGGCACTCTGCTAAGCTTGCCGTTCACTCGTTTCAGTCCTGTCTGACTCTCCATCACATCATTTGGAGTTTTCTTGGCAGAGATACTGAAGTGATTTGCCATTTCCTTCTCCAGCTCATTTTACAGATGAGGAACCTGAGGCAAACAGGGTTAGAGGACTTGCCCAGGGTCACACAGCTAGTAAGTATCTGAGGCTAGATTTGAACTCTGGAAGATGAATCTTCCTGACTCCAGGCCCTGAGTTCTATCTACTGTACCACCTAGCTGCCCCTCTGCTAGGTGGTAAGTGCTATTATTATCTTCATTTTACATTTGAGGAAACTGAGGAAGACAAATGAAGTGACTTGCCTAGGGTCACACAGTCTGTAAGTGTCTGAGGTTGGATTTGAACTCAGAACTTCCTGATTCAAGTCTCAGTGCTTTATCCACTGTACTACTTGCACAAGGTCAGCTAGGTAATAAATGGCATACTGGAATTCAAATGAAGTTCAAAGACTCCAAATTCAGTACTCTTTCCACTGTAACACATAATCTCTCAGCTATGATGTTCTTTGTTCTAAGATCTCTTCTAGTTCTAATGTTCTATCTTCTAAGATTCCTTCTAGTCCTGACTGTGTGTCCTAGGACTGTCCCAGCACATTTCTATATCCTAAGGTCCTTTCCAATTGTGACTATGTTCTATGTTCCAAGGTCCCTTCAAGTACTAACATTCTGTGTTCTAAAGGCCCTCCCAGCTCTGACATCCTGTGTTCTAAGGGCCCTCCCAGCTCTGACATTCTCTGTTCTAAGGCCCTCCCAGCTCTGACATTCTGTGTTCTAAGGCCCTCCCAGCTCTGACATTCTGTGTTCTAAGGCCCCTCCCAGCTCTGACATTGTGTTCTAAGGCCCCTCCCAGCTCTGACATTCTGTGTTCTAAGGCTCCCTCCCAGCTTTGACACTTGTTATGTCTTAAGGTGATTCTAGGCATGACATTCTATGTTCCAAGGTTCCTTATAATTGTGACACTCCAGGAGCCAAGATTCCTTCCAGGTGTGACACGGCACGTTCTAAGGTCCTCGGCTCTAAAGCCGTTCCCAGCTCGGCCGTGGCGCTGACATCGCACAGCAAAACACTAAGACGTCTCTCCCTGCCCGTTCTTAGCGCACCTTTACCTCGGACAGCATAGGTTACCAGGTCTCTCCCCCTCCTCCCCCCCAGCTGACCCTCCCGCCTGGGGCTCGCGTTTGACCTTGCCCCGCCTTCGGGCGCTCGCTCTCCGCGGGGGGCGGTCCTAGGGGAGGACACAAGCCCCGGGGCCGGCAGGGAGAGCTGCCTGGGGCCCGGTCCTCACCTGGATGTCCCGGCAGGCCGAGGCCGCCCGCCGCCCCTCCGCCTGCTTCTCCTCCACGAGCCCCAGCCCCAGGCCAAAGGCCAAGAAGACAGCACGGCCGCAGGGGGGCCCGGCGCCCCGGGCCCGCAGCACCAGCTGACGCTGCAGGCGGGCCGCCAGCCCGGCCACCGACTCCCGGAAGAAGCGGAAGCGGGTGGGAAGGCCCAGCCCAGGCGCCAGCCCCGGCCCCGGAGCCGGCGCCGCCGCCCCTCGGGCCCTGAGGCCCCAGCCCGGCCCCGGCTGCTCCGCCCGCCCTAGGCCTCCCGGCGGGCCCGGCTTGGCCGAGAAGCGCAACAGCAGCGCCCGGCCGAGCTGCAGGCCCCGACCCAGCGCCTGTCGCAGAGCCATGGCCTCAGCCTTGACCGCGGCTCGGACAACACCAACCCCACCGACCGCAGGCCCGAGCTGGATTGCGCGCGCGTCAGCTGCTGCGCAGGCGCACAGGCCGGAGGAGGGGGAGCGTTCTGCCCACGAGGCGATTGTTTACAGAATCTGCCCCGCGAAGGGGTGGGGCGCAGTGCGGAGTTTGTGCGCATGCGCGGCGCCTGGCCCCTGAGACCTGTCTGCCTCTTAGGCTCATGTGGCTCGACCTTCAGCATAAGGAGGAGCGCAGCAGCATGCTCCCCATACCTTGAATACATCCAGTGATGGCGAGCTCATTACTTATCCAGTCAGCTTAGACCACTTCGGGGATAGCTCTAATTGTTAGAAAGTTTTTCTTTGTTGTCCTTAAGTCGTTTCAGTCCTTTTCAAACTCTTCGTGACCCTACTTGAGGTTTTCTCAGCAGAGATACTGGAGTGGTTTGTTGTTTCCTTCTCCAGCTCATTTTACAGATGAGGAAACTGAGGCAAACAGAGTGAAGTGACTTGCCCAGGGTCACACAGCGAGTAAGTGTCTGAGGCCAGATTTGAACTCAGGTCCTCCTGACTCCAGGCCCAGCTCTATCCACTGCCCCACCTAGCTGCCCCTAATTTTTTCTTTACATCCAGCCTCAATCTACCTCTGCACCTCTCACCCTTTGCTCCTAGTTCTTCCCTGCGGGGCGGTGCAGATGAAGCTGAACACCTGTCGGGTGCCAATCAGAGGTGTGAAAACAGCTCTGCCACCAACTCCTTGTGTGTTGTCTTTCCTGCTAAGTCTGACCTGTTTGGTGCTAACAGTGATCCAGTCTGATGAGGCAGAAAGAAGTGCTTGAGGTGGGGAGCGAGCAGGAGGAGAGATGAGATGAGAGGCGGGATGTGGCCAGCCTAAATAGTGCTCAAAGAAGACTGTGCACGGAAGCCCCCCCCCCACGGACTTACTGTGTGCTCTTACAAAGCACCCTCAGTTCCAGAACCACTCTTCCCCTCCCCTTTCCTGTTCTCTTTGCTTACCACCTCCCTACTACCTGATATCCCAGGCATTTTGGAGCCATGCTTGCTTGTCCCCTTCCCACTATTCCATCAAATTGTATTTAAACTGTACCTTTGACCTAGCTAACCGCCTTTGCCTCCTACGGGAAGCAGGGGCCACTCTACTCCCTTAGGGGAGCAGGGTCTCAGGCCTAAACTCTGCCTCCCAGGTGGAATAGAGCCCATTGGGGCTCTGCCTCATGGGGAGCAGCCCCTCTTGGGTACATTACCCCAATAAATGCCTTTCTTTAACTTGGAGACTTTCCGAGTGAATTCTTTCAGGACACTAGGACCCGCATGTCTATTCCTCATCATTTCAGGTAGCACCCCAACATTCTTGGGGTCCACCCTGAAGTCATCACCAGTGGCTACAGAGAAGGTCTAAGTAAATTCTTGGGGCAGCTAGGTGGCGTAGTGGATAGAGCACCGGCCCTGAGTCAGGAGGACCTGAATTCAAATCCGGCCTCAGACCAAACACTTGACACTTACTAGCGGTGTGACCCTGGGCAAGTCACTTAACCCTAATTGCCTCGAGCCTGCCCCCCCCAAAAAGTAAATTCTTTCACATCTGAACCAGCTCTCCCAACTCTAAACCTCCACACAGTCTTGGAATTTTCTTTGGCCTTTTCCTGACCCCAGGACATCCAACCAGTTAGTCTAACTAGCTAGTCTGATCCTCTGCATTTTAATGTCCATTCTGGCTCTGACACTCTGTGTTCTGAGGGGTCTCCCACCGGATCACCACCCTGCTTAACAATCTCTCTATCAGGATAAAATACAAATGCCTCAGCCTGACATTTACAATTCTCCATAAGCTGTCTCTAATCAACCTTTCTAAACTGATTTCACTTTGCTCCTCCTAATGCATTCTGCCTTCCAGCCACTTTAACCTGTTTACTCTTCCTTGCCCACAGCTTCTGCCATCCCCCAGGCCTGGAATGCTCTTCCCTCTCCACCTTTGAGGCTTTAAAAATTCTAAATTCCCTTTAAGGCTGAATTTAGATGTCATTTCTTCAACAGAGGCCTTTCCTGATCCCACATCCTCATCCCCTAGCCTGAAATTGCTTTATATTTACTTATCTTTGTACATGCAGTGTGCTCCAATAATATGGAAGCAGGTAGCTAGGTAGTGCAGTGGAGAGAGCGCCATGCCTGGAGTCAAGATCTTGGTTCAAATCCATCCTCAGACACTCACTACCTGTGTGACCCTGGGCAAGTCACTTAAACCCAATTTGCCTGGGTTCTTCATCTGTAAAATGGGATGGAGAAGGAAATGGCTAGCCATTCCACTATCTTTGCCAAGAAAACCCCACGAATAAGTTCATGAGGTCACAAAGAGTGGTACAGGACAGAACAACAACAAAGCTCCTTGAAGGAAGGTATATCCTCAGCCCCGAGCAAAGTACCCTGCCACATCGGAAAGTCCACTGGTTTTGGAAAGAGAGGATCTGTATTCTAATTCTGCTTCTGATACTCATTGCCTATGTGACCTTAGAAAAATGACTTAATCGTCTTGTGCCTCAGTTTCCTCACCTGCTAAATGAAGAGACTGGACTTTAGGTGGTTTCTATTGTCCCTTCCAGTTCTGACTATGTAGGATTCCATTCTATCCACTCAGTCTTTTATGTAGCAGGATGAGGCATAGGCTGAGTGCTGTCTGCCCGCAGTGTGATTACCTGAACAAGCACACCAATTGCCACTTCTCACTGTTTCTGGTTCATTTCTTTATTAAGTCTTTTTCTGGGTTAAAATGTAGTTTAGGTATGAATATTAAAGAGATTGCTAGATTATAGTAATTCTCTCTTTTAATTAGCTTGTCCCTACCTCAGCTTAAACTGAGGAAAATCTTTGCACCTTTTTAATTATCTTCTCCTCTCAATCCCAAACTATGCACTTATAGCCTTGGTATTGTAAAATTGAAAATTGATTTTAATTCTGTTTTTAAGACTTTGACCTGGCTAGGGCTTAATACATTTCCAAATGTAACCTTTGTAACTTCACCCTTCACCTACATTACAGAAAAACTTGCCTAAAGGTCAAGCTTTTTGTAATTACCTCCACTCCAGATTCAATTCTATTATGAATTGAATCTATACCTTTATATAGTCTATCTTTGAAACCACACCCATCACCCACTTAACTCAAAATCAAATTGATTCGATCAAAGGTTTATAGACTATTGCCATTGCCTGGCTACCTTTGTCTTGGCTTGGTGTGGTTAAGAGACTTTCAGAAAGGGGCGGTCCAAATGATGCAATCTCAATTCTGATTATGTCATGGACAACCAATCAGAAGAAGACACAACGATGTTGCTCAAGATTTTGCTCTGTCATCTTACTAATTATTATAAAAGACCTTGCCAGCCCTCACTTGGGGTCTTTGGTTTTTGAGGGAGGCCGTTGACCCTGTTTATTGGTGACTGCTAGCCTAAGTAGTAAATTGATCATACTCAGAAAGAACTTTGTCTCTTAATTTTCCTTAATTTCTAACAAAGCAGTTTAAATCACAGTTAATAGCTTTAATATCCATTTCAAAGATTGTAGGAATACAAATATGCATCCAAAAGAGCAACCTTCTACTTGAAGTCCATGATGATTTGATGATTGCAACAGGGGAAGGGGAGGTAGGAACGGGGCTTGCTCTCTTCTCCCACTGGTTTTATCAGGAAAAGGAATTGAAGTGGTCAGATAAATAAAGTGGCTCTGGGGTGACCCTCAGTAGGAGGAGACCTGGGCTGTGACCTGGATTTGGGATAGTCATCAGCTGCCAGAGCTCCTGGCTCCTGTTCAGTTTCCTCCTCCAGTCCACTCTTGTGTCTCTTCCTGCCTTCGTGGACACTGCACCATGTCACAAGGTGATCTTGGCTCTGCTTACTTTCCTCACTTTTTCTGTCAGAGAGGCAGAGCCCACTCCTGAAGGTCCCCGCTGTCTCGGAAGGAGAAGCATGGAGGAACCAATATGAATCATAGTCAAGGTCAAATCAAAGGTCAAAGCCCCAGAAATTTAAAGAACTTTGGGTAATGTCTGAGCCCTAGCATTCCTGTTCCCCCAACACTCCATTGTGCCACGGAGCACATGATGAATTAAATAGGAAGGTTACCTAGGAGACAGGATGTTGTTGTTTAGTCAATTAGTTATATCCAATTCCTCATGACCCCATTTGTCATTATCTTGGCAAAGATACTGGAATGATTTGCCATTTCCTTCTCCAGGTCATTTTGCAGATGAGGAAACGAGGCAAACAAGGTGCAGTGACTTGCCCAGGGTCATTTGAACTCACATTCTCCTGACTCCAGGGTTGGCACTCTATCCACTGCACCATTTAGCTGCCTAGGAATCAGGATACCTGGATTCAAGTCTGTTCGGCCACTGGCTTCACCATGTGACTCTGGGTGAGCCTCTTGACTTACGTCACTTAATGAAATCATTAATTTTATTTTTAGTCTAAGCATAATCATTAATGAAAACATAAAGGGGGTGGGCAGAGTGGTAAGAACCTAGGATTTGGATTTGGGAGATGTGGGTTCAAATCTTGTCTCTATTACTTACTAACTATGTGATCTTGGGCAAATTACTTCCATTTTCTTGGTCTTTGTAGTCAGTCAGCCGAAAAGCATTTAAATCCCTTCTGTGTCAGACACTGTGCTAAAACATTAAGGATATAGGAGATGTACTATATAAGTATGGGCTAGATTGAACAAATCAGTTAAATCACCCCACCCCATCTAAAGTAAATGCCACTTTAATGAGGTGAAATGATGTCCCAGTCAATCAGTCAAAGACTTTCAATTAAATATTTTAGAAAAAAATCTTAGATGATCTGGAGTGACATTGACAGGAGAAGTTTTCAGATTGGCTGAGGAAACTTGGTCACACTCTGTGGGTCATTTATAAAACAGATGATGAATCCAGAGCCCAAGGTATTCAAGCATTTGGTAGAGAGATTGGAGGCGACATTAGCATTGGAAGTC